CAGTAGTACTATATGAGAGGAGAGTATGAATAAATTTTCCCAACTATCACTATCAAATTGGTAGAGATATCAGAATTTTTTTTTTAAATAATGTTTAAATTCCAGGTTAAATGACATTGATAGTAGATGCTGTAGTTCGACTTTCCTACAGTATTTTAGACTTTAACGTTGAATCTTTTCTTTGGAATGAGGAACCATGTTTAGTCCAAAGAATTGGCAGCTGAAACAGCATAATTTACCCTAAATTATATGTAATTACTATGCTTATACAGTAATAAAGTTTGCAAATATGCAGTCAATTAGAGTGTATATAATTAGTGACCTTTTTCTGTGAGTTTATTAACCTGTGAGACATGAGCTAGAATTAATTGACATAACTTTGGATAGTTCTTTAAATAGAGAAGTCAAGTGATATGTTATGTGTCTATTTTAGCTTTAGTTCTCAGGTAGTTATACTCATAATAATCTCGCGAGACATTTTCGTACTGTCTATTCTCTTTTGCATGAAAGACAAAATTTCTGGCGCTGATATTTTTGATGATAGTAGGCCACAATGAGTTGATAAAATGATAAAAATTTCAGCTGAAAATACTATACTTGAAGGGAATTATACATCAGACAAAAAGCAAAATCTCGCGTGACATTTAGTGTGCATTGTAACAAAGAGTAGCACAACTCTCTTATCGTCATTGGCCGTTTTTATGTCCTACCCAATGACTCTCGTTTAACACCAATTCAACTAATTCTTGACGTGTTGTTACATACCTAGATCATTTTCAAATCTCGTGTGACATCAATAAAAAAGGGTTGACTGTACAGATGGTATACAGAAAAAAATGTGTCATAACAAATGTCATGAAACAACTAATCAGTTTTATATCCGATAATTGCATATTGATAACTGTAATACTTATAACGTTTGAAGTTCGAATGAAACGAGAACCAATCAGCTATATGACATTTTCGTCCAATACGTCGCAGTCAAAGTTGCATTTTTTACTCTTGTGGTCCGAATATCTCAAGATCTAACCGAGATAAAACCGCAATTTTTTGTATGATAGTGAGGACTTACTAGATGATTCTGCCCTGAAAAGCTTCATGAAGATTGCATGAGAGGAACTCGATATATTAAACATTTGTATATAAGAATCCAACGGTACCATAATTGTGCAATTCACTCATATATCTGGTAGATTCAAACCCAAGATGGAGTTATTCGATAAATTATTGTAGAAGAGACATTCTACTATGTACTTGTACAGAAAATTTTTGATATTAACCATCTTATAAAATTTTACAAACAGGGCTTAAGATTTTTGGTTACCCCTAAGTATGAAAAGTCCGAAATGTCGTCCAAAAATAATTCACACCAGTAGCCTGATTCCGAAGGTGAAACAACGTCGGTTCAGAGAGAATAGAGTGTCTTCACGAATATTGGCGAAAGAAATGAATGTATCTCGGACCACCATACGTCGTGTAATTAAAGAAGATCTACGGTTAAAACCTCATGTGAAAAGAACAGCACCGAACCATAAAGAACAACACAAAAGGAATAGAAAATCATCAATAGTGGAAAAAATTTTATTCTCCGGCGAGAAGTGTTTTCAAATTGATGGCATTCATAATAGACAAAACGTTTGAATTTATGCTGCTACACGTGGAGAAGCTGACCGCAAAGGTGGTATTCATCATAAAACAGAGCATTCGATTCAAGTTATGTTATGATTGGAAGTCCGTTTCCAACGTGTCACAAGGTCAGTAATCATTGAAGAAGATATATTTAATGCTTCCGGATATATCAAAGAAGCTGTACTGATAACACTGGAAGACGGGAAAAGATAATTAGGCAATGATTTTATTTTCCAGCAAGATGGTGCATCACCTAGCTCATAAGGATGAAAAAATACAGTTATGGTGCAAAAGCGAATTTCCAGATTTTCGACCTTTATGAACGCTGGCCACCAAATAGTCCAGATCTCAACCGTCTGGACTATTATATATGGTGTAAACTTGGTAAACAGATGAATTGGAGTCGTATCATGAACAAAGAAACATTAATTGAACAAAATTAAACAAAGCGTTACAAAAATAAAAATTCAAGTTGTACGTTGCAGTATCGCAAGTAGGACTAATCGAGTGTATCGTGTGATACAGTGTGAAGAAGAATATATCTTTTGAAATAAACATAAAGTTTTGTAGACTTTGACATTCTCTACCTTTTGGTATGTAAAGAAAGTTATTTTTAAAGAAAAAGTAAGAGAAAGAGATAATAATTTTTGTTCAGCTTATTATGGCTCACACCAGTTAGTTAAGGTATGAGTGAGAGTAAGAAATGTATAGAGGGAGGATAGAGCTACTCTAATACTAGTGAGATAGAGTTATAGGTGTGGCTTTGCAGATTCCATGGGCATAGCTTACGGTGGTGGATTATGGATGAGATGGGATCTCTCCTGTGTTTGATGAGTGTTACGCTCGCCACGGCTCCATCAGAGTGGTTCCTGGTCACGTGCGTCCGCCTATAAGAGAAAAAAAACGAGCAATGAATTCGAAGCGGTGCCATTTATTTGAAAAGAAAGAAAAAGCGAAAAAAATACAACGAATCGTTTCCAGTTCATTGAATTGAAAAAAATTGAACACGATGATTTTGATTATCGGCGACATAGAAATTGCCTTGTCGATCGAAAAAAAAACTAGCGAGATAATTGAACTGATTTGTTCCTGCTCCTTCACCATTGCCACCTACAATGATAGTACCCTGCTTTGCTTTTTTAGTCCAACGCATTATTCGATGATTCCCCGAGTCTGCCACATAGATGGTACCCAACGTATCGACGAAGAGTCCCATAGGAAAATACAATTGTGTGAGAGCATCTCCTTCACCTTGGCCTCCAGCAACGAAAATGCCTTCTTTTGCACCTTTATTCCATTTCATTACACGATGATTCTCGTTGTCTGATACGTAGACATTCTGTTGTTGATCAACAAAGATGTAGGTCGGAAACTTGAGTTGATTGAGACCAGCACCTTTGCCATTTCCACCAGCCACGATAATTCCGTTCTTATCTCCTATTTGATATTGTCTTATTTCATGTTTTTCAGTATCAGAGACATAGATATATCTCTGATCATCCATGAACAGTCCAAAACATTTTATGTTGTCAATGAGAATTTCTCCTTGATTTGTACTACTACGACGAGACCACCGTACAACTCGTCGATTCCCGTAATCGCAGATAATGAAACTATCAGTCTCTTTGTCGATCAGCACATCAGTTGGAAGACTCAGTTGATCCAATCGATTGTCTTTGCCCTTTCCACCAGCTACAACTTGTCCATTCTTATCACCCATCTTCCATTGGACGATACGATGATTCCAGTAGTCAGTAATGATCATCGTTTGATCATCATCAACGAAGAGACCATGAGGGCCCCAGAGTTGATTTGTGGCATTACCTTTTCCATTTCCTCCAGCAACGATCTCCCCATTCTGTGACCAACGAGTGTCGATTGGAATATTAGGAATAGCTACAATGAACAAAAAGAAAAAAAGAGATCGTCATTATTGAAGAGATTATTTTGTCTCTCATACACGAGAGTAAGTATTAGTTATCTAATGTCAAACTTTTGATGAGTTTCCTGTACGAAGATTTCTGATAGTTTTTCGATCATATCTTATGTTCATTTGAAATTAAAACGAAGATAAATACAAAAAAATATATGTTTTTTTTTACACCCGTCGAATAGATTTAGACTTGTTAAAACTACCAAAAAAATTTCAATTTGTTTTGGAATTAAAGAACAAACTAAAATAGTAACAATTCTAATGAGATAAAAAATATTAGGATGTCGAGAGAGATTGTTATTTCGTTTGTAGAATCATTTAAGAAATCACAGATATGAGTTGCATAAAAATTAACATTTTTCGATTAATTTTCAATTCCATTCATGTAATGAATTATAGATAAAATCAGATGAAGATCAATTTTAATGATTTTTATTGGTGATATGCATTATTATCGATTTAAAGATATTTCAATAAAGAATTCAAGAACATATAAATTTACAAAATTTATTAATTATGAAGAAATCTGCAGAAGTCATTTAAACAGGACATATATTTTGATAAAGCATGTGCTAAAAAAACGAAGATTTATTCTTTATAATGTTCGTTTTCATTTTTACTTCCTTTAATAGGTAATAGGTATTCATAAAAATGTCCACAGAATTAAACGGAACTCATTTTGACATTCACAGAATTAGTATTAGTTTTAATATATGTTTTCAATATATTACTGAAAGTGTGTTTTTTTAGTTGATCACGCTGTAACACACAATAATTATTATGAAATAGTAATCGTTAAATTATTCTCTGATAGTGACTTTTTTGAAAATTGAATTATTTCTACCTTGTTCATAAGTGAGAAATGAACAAGAAAATCATAAAAATTTTTTTTTATATAATCTGAATGTGGTTGTAACCGAAGAACTTAACTTTGATCGGATCTCACATTCATGTAACTGACTTCTTATTTGAACATGAATTGTTTTTCTTGAAATAATTTATCATTTTACAATTGTACTATTCTGATCCTACTTTTCTAAGATCTAATATCAAATCTTAAATTTTTTTACTACTTCGAACACACTAATATTCGTATACACTACATTTCTATTGTTTAAATTAGACATTTTTTATTCGTACAATGTTTTACCTAGAGGAGGGTTTTGGAACATTCTCCCTCCTTGAGAAAAAATAAACAAGTTTTAAAAAAATATCAATCTAACTTTTAAAAATTTGTGGAAATTCTAGAAGACATTGTAACTAGTGGCGTAATCAGAAAATAAAGTTGGAGGCGGCACAGCCTCCATGGACGTACCGAATTTCTTAACATGGCAGACAGTAAACGATTTTGCAGTAGTGTTTTAGAGTTATTTTTCGCTATTCTTCTTTTGAAAGTTTTTTTTAAAGAAACATAGCGAAGTAAAGGCTTGTTTCTTTTAGTAAAATTTACGTTTCTTGAAAATGAAATCATGGTAGAAGAAATAAATATTCATTAATTTTTTTCGAAGACAATAATGCTGAAAACAATAGGTCCTCGAAACAGAATGAAAATGATTGGCTCAAAACTGAACTATTCATTCAAATAGAAATAATTAAATGACATTCTATTTTATACTCAAGACTGAAATGAAGAAAAGAAGTCAGCAAATCGAAACATTACCCTAGCGATCTAATTTGCCAAACAAAAGTTTTTCAAAATGCACTGAAACTATAAAGGATGATTCATTTATCTTTATTCACTTTCTTCCATTGATTGTAATACTATACAAGATCAGAATTATCTAGTTGATTATCAATGAGACGCAAAGCTCTGATTTAACAGATACTACCCAAGAAGACAAAAATTTTCATCTGCTCGGTTAGCACACATCGAAAGTACTGGATGATTTTTCTTTAAATAACAATAATGATTCAAAGTTTTGTCTAATTTCTTTTTACAATTGTCCGGGTATGAAATATTGTCTGTGTTTTTTTCAACTACGCCTATACTCGTACTCATAGTTTTGTTTTATCAACTACAATTTCATCTGCCCGACGAAATTAAGGAAAATCTGTCTTGTTATCTTTATGGAGAGAGAGATGTAGAAAATTAATCGCTTTTCACTCATGAAAAGCTCACTAAAATAGTCTTGCCTATAAAATTTTTTCTGTGTACTTTTTAAATAACATAGGAACTTTGACTAAATCTTAAAAGACTACTCACTGATAAGTATTTTATTACACATTACTTTAATAAAGTGAGTTCTTACTGGAAAAAAAGACAATATGTTTTCAATTTTTGTCATAAGGAAATTGAAACAAAATATGTTATTCAGAATATGTATCTTTTGATTAATACTTGTACATCATTTACTTTTTCAATTTGATACACGAGATACTTTCGTATGCACATATGAATCAGATAGATAAGATTTTTTTTTATTCCTACTGCCCAATGTGTCAAATGAAAAATATATCTGTCGTACTCTTGATTGTTTTTCTCATGAGAAAAACTTAGAAAATAATCGCTTCTCATCTTTCTAAACGAAATGATTTGTACCACCATTTTATGAAAATATTGGAATAAATGGAAATTCAAAAGGAAGTTTTTTGTATAGGATTTTTGTGATTAGAAGAGAAATAGTATTTCGTCAAGAGAAACTTGTTGAAGTTTCAATCGACTACAAAAAAAAAAAAAGATTAATTATATGATAAGGCACATGTACGTTTCAATGAGAACAAGAAATGATTAATGCATACACCAAATGTAGATTATTTGACACAAACTCAAAAGTAAAAAGTTCTCAATTGATGAATGATTATTTTTCTTTCTTCATACAATGATGAACAATTTTTTCTGAGAGATCTTACAAACTGAGTTACTTCTTTTTCACTAATTGCTTAATAAAATTAAGGTCATACAAATAGAAACGACAAAATATTGATTAAATTTTGATACCTAAAAACTTTTTAAAAACAAAATCTTGATAAAGTAAATCATGTTAACTATTTATTATTTTAATATAACGAGTAGTTTTTATTTTCAAATACCATATTGGTAAGAGGGTGTGGGTGAATCTCAGTTTGACGTGAAGACAAACTTATATCCACACCGCCTTTTTGCAATAATGTAAGGATTACTATTATTGATGTTATCGAATAACATTTTAAAACTTATTAAAATGATCAGTTATAATACTAATACAATATTAAACTTCAATTGTCAGTTTTCTACATATTCTAACTGATATATAACTTATGAATTCTAGAGGAAGAGTACTTATATATGAAGAACACCTATGGAAGAAAATATTTTCAATAAAATTATTTTCTATGCCTTATCAATTTCGCTTTATTCGAAGTTAGCTCAACACTTTAGCCAAAACTAAATAACTCCTTTCAATGTTTGTTAAACACTGATTCAATTTTTAAAAGTGGCAAGGGTTCTAAAAATGAATAGTACTAAGAGTTTTATATAGAGTTTTGTTTTTGAATGTTTACCCTTCATGTCAAAGTCTACTTGTTTCTAAACTTAATAATCGATAGTCTAAATAACGTCATTTAAATTATACGAGGTGTTCAAAAATTGTTGACTATTCGGCGAGAAGCACTTATAATTCACTACATTTTGTTTGAGAATAAAATATCTTTCTCACTTTTGTCACCAACACTAACCATAAAAGAACTTGCGATAAATTTCTTGATAAATCCAGAAAGCAATAATATTCATAGAAAACGTTAATTATCTTTTAATTTAAGTATGACCTCAAAAAGCCATTTAAGTTGATAGTATCAGAATCTCTGCAATTTATTTTTAAAATCTTTTCGATTTGTATACATTAATCGTTTTCATATCTGTACTCTGCTTGAAATTCAGGACAAATTAATAAATAATTTCGGAAAATGATAGTTTTTATTTATTCTAGCAATACAAGACTAGTTTTTATCTATCGGGAACGAATATTTTGCTCTTCTTTTTGCTTATCTGTCTCGTTCTAACATTCAACAACAATTATCAGTTCCAAACATCTCCTTATAATTCAATACTTTCTTAGTCTTCCTATAGGACGAAGTGTTCCTTTTAAAAATAGATTCTGTTAATAGACTCTTCAGGAGTTCATATGGAACATCTATGTTAAGTCTATTCTTATTTTCTAACTAGCAGCATGGTTTTTCATCAATAAATCTTTTTCAGATAATACTTTTATGGATGTAATCAGATTCGTAGAAATAGAGATCGATCAACAGACACGTAGAGTCAATTGATAAATCTAATCATACTACATGAATAGTTTTACACAATCGTAGTGATAATATTTAAAATTTTGTTGAGATTCATCTATTTAGAGTGTATGGTATAAGTTTGATTCTTTTTTTAAACTCATACTTACATTCACATAGTGCATAAGGCAAATGATAGGAACAATGAAATTTATTGTGTTGAAGGAAGATTTTAGTCGTATGCAAAGCAACATGCCTCGATTTGAAACAGTTTGAGAGTCTGATGAGGAAATAGACACCGCTGCTTTTGATGATACAGGATTTGACCCCGTAGTAATACTTGACTTGATACTGGATGTGGCATGATGTGATTTTGAGGTATCTTAACAAATAGAACACGATATTATTGGTATTTTTTTTTTAGTTGGTGCCATCGATATCAAAATCAATACTTCTGTTGAGTGGTTTTACCACAAAATACAGAATGTCGATCCCAAAAAAAAAAGAGAAAACTCGAGTCCAATCAACATTTTTATCGGAGCGAGATTCGAAAAATGAACTGGAATTTGAAACAAAACAATACTATTCATTCAAAGGATGCTATAAATCCTAAATGAATGTTTCCTTTCCGACTAGTGTTGCCCACTATTGTCTAAGGTGGCGTAAATAACACTAGAATGAGTTTGTATTCGAGTAAAATCAATGTGACAGACTGGTATAATTCTCACTTAGAGGAATGATTTTTCATCCAAAAAAATGGTGAACAAAAGAAAACATATGCATGAGTGTCGTACTCTTGGTTTGAAGGTTCGATCTTATTTTTTCAACGTCTTCATAGTCTTGGGTTCTCTTCTCCGAAACCAATAGATGCATTTAAATGGTATGAATTTATAAGTATTCAAACTTTTTCCTTGAACATTCCAAAATAAAAAGTAATCATTAGATTATGACTATTTTTGTCACTTTGATCAATGATTGACAATATCTCATTGTATTATTTCAAGCTAAACTGCACTGATTTTATTTCTAAGAAATGAATCTTTACCTGATTCTATATTGATTTGATGTACAGCCTATGAATATATGTAAGAATTATATTTATAATCGACAGTCGGCAACTTACAGTCGACAAATCATTAGAAAATGGTGGTTCAAGAAGAACATGTGGTGGAGTGATTTCACGTACGTGTATAATGTATAAACCATTTCCTGCATTGACTTTGCTCACAACTTCGAAATAGAAACCGGGTAGAAGCAAAATTTCATCTTCTGTCTTGTAATGTGAATGTGCCTTGATTGGTTTGCCATTCAAACATTCTATATTAAAAAGAGTTCTTGGACCTGAATCGCCTAAATACATTTTTCGTTGTAAGACTTTTAGTGATAAGGTACATGAAGAAAATGCCCACCATATATAGCGTTCACCATCATGAAATTTCAAATGAAGATCAGCCTTAACACCACGATAGATCACTTTAGCTGAGCATGACTGTATTTTAAAAAGAGCAGTCATAAATAGTTTGAGATAAGGAAACCATGGCTTTAGTTTTTGACGATCTCTGTCTCGTAGCATTTCATTCAAAATTGAATATAGGCTTCGAGTTTTTATTTCCATGGTGTAAAGATGAATAGCAGCAGATTCATCAGAAGAAAGACCGTTGGCTGGTTCCTTCGATGCATTTTTAGCAATCCAAACGTCACGTGGTAAATTACGGAACAATGATTTTATTGGTTCGATAGCTTCTTCGAGGGAAACGAGTTCTAACTCTTGATAATCTTCTAGTGGTTGTAGAGCAACTTCAGGTTCATCACAAGTGTTTTCAATGAAACGAGGATTCCACTCGTCGTGATCTTTTGATTCACTCATAATCGAAACAGTACGTTAATACTAGAACAGAAAAGAAAACTATTTACTTCGAGAACAACTTGGAGGTAGAGTGTGAATGGGGTGTATGAGTGTGAGATCTTATGAAATCATGAAGAATTCCAGAGAATCCAGAGGATTCTTGGAATTCTAAAGAATCGTAGAAAACTCTCAGGACTCGAGAAACTTCAAGGTTATACGATATCGTAAACTCTCTGTTGAATGGACTAAAACAAGAGTTGCTGCTTATCGGAATTCCATAATCTACAAGAATTTCACATGTTAATGTTTTGTAAAAAAAAACTGAACTCATAGATTGTTTCTGGAAAAAACTAGTAACTTGAATAAATTTTTTTCTATGGAGACACCAAGAGGAACTAATTTGAACATTTGATGAGACAAAGTATTGAATTAACTTGTGTCTATGACTTTTTTCTTGAAATTCTCATTAATAGTGGTATATAATATAACTCTGTTTATGATGTTTAAAATATTTGCTTTAGTTTTAGAAAATCTACTTAATAAGTTGCTCATTAAAGTCGAATAATGAAAAATCATCCATACCTAGTCAATTTAACAATTATTTTTCTTCTGAATTGGTTGGGTGTTGTGTAAGTCAGACGAACGCGTTGTTTTTCAAGGCATTTTTTTTATTTGCATTTTTGTATCATGGCAACATCTCGATCTGTTTTGCCTCCTTTTCTTTGTTTTTGTTTTAAACTATTTGTTTTCATCTGCATACCCTTTTTCTGCAGGACTGCAAATAGCAATAGTAAAGTGTGCAAGGTAAACAACTGGAGACGACTGATTGTAAACAAGAAAAAAGCCATATTTACAGAAAAAATTTTAGTTCATCGAAATTGTATACATCAATATTTATTTCGATGAAATATCAGTAATTGACATCGTTGAATAATGAATAACAACTAATGAAGATGAATTTTCAGACTATCTATAAGAAAATCTGATTAGAGACAACGAGAACATCACGATTATTTCAAAAATGATTGCATAATCTATTTCATTCTTCAATTAATGAGAGTTATACATCATTATAATTGTTACTTTTCGGATTTAATTTATATTTTTCTTACATGGAAAAAAACAGAAATGACTGAATCAAATTTCATTGGTGTTTATGTGAACTTAAACTACGAAATATTTTTAATATTGTTAAAAGAATATATTCAAGAAAGTCAGTTTGTTTGCAATGTAATCTTATAAAAAAACAATCAATCTTTAAAAATTCGTTAAAGGAAACATAAAACTCGAAATTAATAGCATACTATTGTAATTTTTAGTGGCTTTAATAAAGTTTTTTTTATTAAGATTATAACTATCAATATAGATGTTTGTTTTGTCTTCACTTGCAAGCTCTTTCTACTCATGTGTGTCCTCTTCTAGATAAATTGAATTATATGTTTTATCTCAATATCAAACTTCATTCTTTACATCATTATTCACATTGTCTGGTTCTTATCTAAATCTCGCAGCAATGTTGAAAAAATATTGTTCTTACGTTAATCATGAACTTCACTATCGATTTTCATTTTAAAATTGAGTATGACTGATAATATTTTTGTATAGTGGAAATAATAATCAATAAACTATTTTACATCATTAGAATTTCAAACTATGTTTCTCTATAATAATTTTATCAGCTTTTTATTATAAAAGAATATTATCAATAATATTGAAGTTTTATATTCGTTTTGCTTAAGATAGAAATCAATGAATCTACCAAAAACTGTAGTTCAAAATGAACAATATTTAATCAACCGATCTATCAATAAGAAAACATAGATATAAACAAATCGTTAAAGAAAAACAAAGAATTCCATTCATTTTACTCATGACCGATTCGAACAAGACGAATAGTAAACGGTTGATCAATAGGAGAACAATTACCATAACCAGAGAAATAGAATTAAAACATTTGTTTTCATGGTCATTCACTTAATGAGCAAGACGATTTCATTATAATGTTTCCTTTAAAATCGATTTGTACAATTTATTGATGATTTACTATTCGAATCAGTTTGAAAATTCCTATAAATCTATTTTCACTAGAAAATTAATTTAAGTATTTTCTACGGGTAGAAATTCAATGAGTAGTTTACATATTTTTGTTTCAGAACTTCAGATTTTTCCAAATCATCTGAAAAACATAAAGAAGAGCACTTATAACATTAGAGATTCGACTTGAAATAAAGAAGTTTGTCTCATATGAAGAAAGAATATTTCTAAGAGTATGGGAGTATTTCTTTTGTCCAATAACTCACATCTCATACCCACCATTTATTTTTACTTTTATGTGACATCATGAATTATTGGTACTTTACTATTTATTTAAAAATAAAATGGGTGTGGGTGTTTATCAGATGAGCACCCACACTCACATACAAGAGGGTTGCTGTGTTTACTTCAGTTGCATGTAAAAGAATTTAAGTGAATGAGAAATGAAGTAGTGTTGCTTTTATGTTTCAATACCATAACTACGTCTTGTCTCCCTTTTTTGGACCTTTACTATCTCTCACTTTCTCAATTGTATTCTGTAATTTAGATTTCGATCTTAACAAGAGTTCAGACAAAAGTGTCTAGACTTTTATATGAGTGTAAATTGTTTTTTTTTTTCATGCGCATACTCTATAAAATCAGAATAGATATAACACCAGATTCTCCGTTTTCTTTTGTTCTGAAAGACAGAAGTACTTTTTTATTTGAAAGTAGTGCTGTCCGATAGTTTCGACACGAGAAAAATTTCAGTTGATTTATGTGTAACTCATCAAAATATTTGAAAAACTCTATCACAAATTGTACGAGGACCTGTTTTCGAAAAGAATTTTAAAATAAATTCAATAATTACATTGCTATGAAGCAATATTTAGAAAAATGTTATAAATTCATCTTTTGCTTTGTTTTAGTAGATAGTAATTTATTCTGCAAAAAAGATCGAGACTAACCCAAAAGATAAACTAAATTGATTGATATTTCTTACGCAAACATATTAAAAATATGTGTTCGATTTTTAAATATTTTCCTGAAGAACTTGTAGAAGAAAACAATAAACGTTCTTAATATAACTAAGTTTGAATCGATTTTTTTATCTTATAGAATTTTCCAGATAATAATATTAAATATTTTTATCGTTAAAAAAACCTTATCTGTACTTTTCTTGGATAAATACAAATGAGAACATGGTTTTGCTTATTTATTGCAAATATTTAGATGATCGATGTTCATTATGAATTGAAGATTAACAACCCTTGTGAAGATACTCATACGGTAGTACTCGTGATAGGATCTGAGTATGTGAGTACTCATCGTGCAGTAATGCCTGTTTCACGAGCACTCCTATCTAGTTTTTGTGTATTCAGCAGGTCCATGTAAAATACTCATAAGCGTATTTTTGCACTAGTACTGTTGTACTACATCGATTTCATTTATTATTAAACTATTAGCAAAATTTACAGTCACACACACATGAAAATTTGAAAACAAAATAATCAAAACGAGAGCTGAAAGATTGACTGAATGTCAGCTTCATGTACTTTGACTAAAATAATATAGACAGAAATCTTCATCATGTACGAACTATTTCATATATCTTTATCAAATGAAAATAAAAAATCATTTTTCTTTTCCATCTGAAAGTCATCAATCATTTTAGCTGTATTAACAAGTCGTCAAAAAGTTGAAAATCAAATCGATTAACTATTAAAAAATCTTTTTAACCCTTTGTCAGTTAATTACATCATTTTCCTTAATTAAATAATTTCAATATATTTTTGTGTATACTAGTGCATAAGTGTCTCGTTGAATATTCTGCGATAAACGCCCATGAGTACTAAATTGAGTACTCATGCGTGTGTCTATGTATAAATCTTTAACTAAAAACTCGTATGATTACTAAGCAGAGTACACGAATAGTGTGCATACATATTAAAGTCCTCCAGCACTCACACAAGTACTCTGAGTACTCAGGCTGGGAGGTCGTACTCGCTTGATGAGTATTTTCACTAGAGTAGATTTAAGTATGAGTTAAAGATGAGAAAGATTTCAAACACATATATCCTATGAAAAGTATTTGATTGTTATGAATTACATGCTAATACAAACCAGCTAAGAGAATATTTGTTTATCAATCTAATACCAGTCAAAAGTAAAAGATTCATCTTTCACAAAATACAAAATAAAAGTAAGTCACTTAATATTTTACAAGAAAGGTTTTCGATTTCAAACAAAGTATGTCATCATTTATGTGTCTCTTCAGTAGGAGCTAGCAAATGATTTTATGTTCATTCAATTTTGACTTTGCTTTTGGAAATTTCTTTTTGAAAGTACATCGGTACGAAATTTTTCTAAATGAGAATCGTTTCATAGAAAAATGATGCAGAACAATTTCATTACTTTTCATTTTATGAAATCAGGACAAAATAACTTCTATGAATTTATGGGATTACTATTGTGAAATTTTTCTTCAAGGTGTAGTTAAAAAATATGACATTGGATTTTTCATAGCTGAGATAAATTTCACGAGTTGAAAAAATCTTGAGTTTGGCTGTAGATGTTTTAAAAATATGTCTATCCATCCACCATCAATGTCATGATGATTTTGCAGTATGCAAATATTTGCATACTAAACGATTCATTCATTTAAAAAATTTTTACTCAATTTGTTGTAAATGGAAAAATGGTTAGAAACAATAAAATAAATACGAATTCGTTTGATATTGTTTTTGCTTTTGAAAATCTCTGACAGGTTTTGCTTTTAAGAAGCAACGATGATCAAAAGTTGTTTGATCGTAATACCAAATAGAAATTTTCAAAAACTAATTTATCTCTCCGTCATAATGAATAAATCTTTCATTTATCTAACACTTATAAATAACCTGCAATTTAAAAGATATTAGTGTGTATATAGATAAGAAAAAATACCAAAAGTATAATTTAAATAAACATTTTTATCTCTTTGTGTTTTATCATAATTATCATTCGACAAA